TTCGTTTAGATCTTTTATCTCTAATTGACTTGAAAAGATGCACTATTTTTCCACATTATTAGATAGTATGTCGTTTGCTTAATTGATTGTTCATGTTGATTAGTTGATTAGTTGCAGTAAAAAATAAAAACAACTTTTTGGTTGTTGCATTTGTAGAGATTGTGGTGTATGTAATTGGATGAATTTTTTTATTTTTACTTTTTATTTTATTTGTGATGGCTTTATTTATATCAAAGATTCGAAGACACTTTAAATGTAGTCTTTCGAAAAAAATTAATAGTAATTTGCACCCTTAAAAACATAATAAATCATTCACAATTTACTCTCATATTGAATTTTTGTAACTTGATGAGGATAATTTTTTCTTAATACTGGTATTTTTCAATGAAAAAAATAAATCGTCCCAAATGGCTTGAAAGTTAGTTTTAATAGAACAAGAACAAATTATTTTCAAATATTTTCTCATCATATTATCCGAGGGATTGGTATTTTATTGGAATCAATAAAAATAAATTGATATAATCAATCATGGTAATTTTATTTTTTAATATATATGTTAATTGTGCAATGCAGAGTTAAGAAAATAATTCCTTTAGCCACTGTCGTATATAAAAATAATTCCAGTGGGTACGTTAAAAAATTATAGTAAACGGTATACTGATCGAATGTTGAAAACAAAAATTGAGTTTTTTTTGTGAGAAACAAATTTAGCTTTAAATTAATTTGGTGAGTAATTCTTTTATTTTTGCACTTCGTATGTTAAAAAAAAAATCACCAAAACAAAAATGCCATTAGAAAGATGATTTTGCCTTATAAACTATTAAAAATTTAATTTGGGGTGCAATTTGTATGATTTTGTGTTTAGATGGTACAAAATGCTATTAAATTTTTGTGGGGGTGTAAAGTGAAATTAAACCCATGTTCTACTGGAGGTAAATGTTATCATGGATCTTATATGTAGTAAGCTTTACTTATAGAAAACGTTCATTAATTTGTCAATTGAGGCAAATTACTAGTTTCCTATAATATCCTTTCTTATTTTCTTTTACCCTAGTAACCACTGACCGTGTATTTTTTCTCTAATTTCTTTCTCTCTTCCTTCTCTCCAATCCCACACTCGTCTATTTCTCTCATCACGGCTGCCCCTTTTTTCTCATCACCGCCGCCCCTGCCCCGCCCTCTTTCGTTTCTATCGCCTTTTTCAATTTCTCTGTGAATTATCGCCTTTTCTATCACGGGTGCGTGTTGAAAGTGAAGGGGGCGAGTCGGGAAGAGTTCGAGGGGTTCGTGAAGAGGGAGAGTACGAGGCCGTTGAGGAATCTTTCGACGCCGATTGCTTCGGCGCATCAGATGGGGAGTTGTCGGATGGGGGTGGATTCGGGGGGGTCGGGGGTGGACCCGAGGGGGGAGACTTGGGAGGTGGAGGGGCTGTTTGTGGCGGATACGAGTGTTTTTCCGACTGCTTTGGGGGTGAATCCGATGGTTACGGTTCAGGCGATTGCTTACTGCACTGCACAATCTGTTCTTGAAATTCTTGGCGGGAAGAAGTTTGTGTAGTTTGGTTTGTGATTAATTTATTATTCTTGTAAGAGTAAATAAGGAAAAATGTGGTTTTCTTGTGTCATAAAACTGGACGAAGTTCTTGTTGGCATTTTCACATACACCTTGTGGGCAACAATTACAAACTAGGGCTTGTAATTTTATTGTACAGTAGTAACTAGAAATATGAATAAATAGTCTCATTTTTAGTGGATTTGGTTAATTTCGTAGTAGATTACGTTAATATTTTAGTGGTTTTCTATATTTTTATAGTGGTTTTTGATGAGTTTAATAGTAGTGGATTTCGTTAATATTAGTGGTTTTCGTTAATTTGTAGTTGATTTTCGGTAAGTTTTTAGTTGATTTAGATGTAATTTGAGTGGATTTTGTCTTTGAAAATTGGAATTGTTTTGTAGTGGATTAGGTTAATTTGTACTGGATTACGTTAATATTTTAGTGGTTTTCGTATTTTATAGTGGTTTTCGACGAGTTTACTAGTAGTGGATTTCGTTAATTTCTAGTTGTTCTCGGTAAGTTTTTAGTGGATTTCGATATAATTTGAGTGGATTTTTTTTTTTTGTCTTCGAAAAGAGGAATTTTTTGTAGTGGATTAGGTTAATTTTATAGTGGTTTTTGCTTTCAGAATGAATTTTATTTCGTATGAATTAAATTGACACGTTGTCGTCTTCTTTTTCTTTTTGTTAGGTTTTTGAACATGCGGCGATGGCACAAGGGTGATTAGGCTTGGTGATGTTCGGGTAACTCTACTATTTGTTAGTGGTGATGACGTTTGTTGGTGACCTTAAAAAAAAAACTAGAGTACTAGTAGTACTTTTCTTAGAATTGTTATAACACATTGTTTTTCTTTTAGTATCGATGATTGTGGAAGTTTTGTAGTTAATTACATTTAATTTCATAGTGGGATTATGTTAACTTTATTTGAATTATGTTAATTTAATAGTTAATTTCAATATATTTATAGTGGATTTCGATCAATATGAAGCGAATTTCAATTTGATAACCTGGTAAAAAAAATTAAAAAAATATTATTTAATAAAACATTGAAAAAAACAAAAGAAATTTAGTTTTTTAATCAAAATAAAAACTAAAAAAATTAAATAAAACATTTTTTTCCGAAAAAATTCGAAAAAATCGAAAAGACGATTTGAAAAAAATGAAAATAAAAAACTGAAAATAAAATAAAACCATTTAAAAAAAATTAAAATGAAAAATATAAATAGGAAAAAACTAATTTAAAATAAAATTAAAAATCAATCAAATTTAAAATAAATATAAAAAAAATAAAGAAATCTAAAAAACCCTAAATGGAGGTAATCTGCATTTAATGGGATTAGTTAGGGCATTTTGGGTAGTTTATGTCATTTGGGTTTATGTCAAAAATCACATTAAAATTTGGATTTATTAAGAAGTCAAAATCCAATGAGGGGTGTTTGTCATATAGCCCCATTTATTAATTAGGTGTTTTTTCATGTGTCTCTAACCAAACATCTTTATTATTCTAGGTTTATGAGCTATATCTCTTTCATCAATAAGCACAATCCTTTAATATTTATTATAAATAAAGGAAAAATTCATGTATATGATAAAATTACCTCCAACCATTTATACCCAATTTTTAATTGTACCCCAATTTAATCAATTTTGACCAAAAAAATTCAATTTTGACTTTTCTTTTCAAAAGGAAAAAAAAATTGCCGCCGGATTCCGGCGTTGACTTTTCGGAAAAAATTCCCGGTCTGTTTTCTCCGCCGCCGGATTCCATCGTTGACTTTTTTCTTTTTTTTTTTGGTCTGTTTTTTTCCGCCGCCGGATTCCGGCGTTGACTTTTTTTTTTTTTTTTTTTTTTTTTTTTTTTTTTTTTACGTCCGCCGCTAAACGTTGACCGTAATTGTGCAGTCACAGTAAATTAACGTTATTATATAGTCAATGACAGTACATTAACGTAATTGTACTGTCGTTGATAATACATTTATGTTATTGTTCTGCCGTTGACAGTAAATTAACTGTAAACACAATAATATTATTGTCAACCACATCAATATTATTAATCTTTTGGGTTTTTTTGTTTTGTTTGAGTTATTCACGGAGTAACGTAATAATATTACTGTCTATTATTGTAATATTACTGTAAACACAATAATATTACTATGGTTGAGGCCTGAGGGTAATATTAATGTTGTAATAGTAATATTGATGTCAATATATCAATGTTATTATTATTTTATTTTTTTGTTTGAGTTATTCACGGAGTAACGTGATAATATTAATATCTATTATTGTAATATTATTGTGGTTGACGGTAATATTACTGTTGTTATACTAATATTACTGTCACTCACAATAATATTAATTCTTTTGACTTTTTATTATGTTTACATTTGTTGAACGGTCAACATAGTAATATTACTCTATTACACAATAATAATGAGTTTTGTTGTGTTAATATTACTGTGCTAAAGATTAATATAGCAATATTACTGTGTTAAACAGTAGTATAGTTAATATTACTGTTAATTTTCCTGTGTTTAACAGTAATATAGTTAATATTACTGTTAATCACAGCAATATTGCTGTTTAAACGAAAGAAAAGATGTTACAGAAAGAAAGAAAGAAATCGAAAAAGTCAACGTCGAAAACCGGTGGCGGAAAAGTCAGGAGAAAAAAGAAAGAAAAAAAAGTCAAAGCCGAAAACCGGCGAAAAAATCTGGAAGAAAACGAGAAAAAAAAAAGAAAAAAAAGAAGAAGTCAACGCCAGAGACCGGCGGTCAACGGCGGTGACGGACGAAATTGTCCATAAAATGTGTTTTGGGTCAAAATTGAATAATTTGTGAAATATGGGGTCAAATTGAGGTTAAATTAAATTAAAGATGAAATTTGAGCATATTAAAGTATAAAGGGCTATTTTAGTCTTTTACAAAAATTTGGACCATATGTGAACTTTTTTGTAAATAAATTCATTATCCGGAGCTTTTTATGAATAAATACTCATTGATTGGCTTATTTGAAAAGATACCAATTAATTATTCAAGATGTCTCATTCACAATCAATCAAGCATTTGAAAGGTTTTGGCAAAATTCAACAAAACTTATTAATGCGTAGACTTGATGGACGACTTTGAATTATTCATATATCCCACCCACCCTGCTGGCTGCAAATCAAATCATAAACTACTACAAATATATATATATATATATATATATATATATATATATATATATATATATATATATATATATATATATATATATATATATATATATATCTATCTATATATATATATATATATATATATATATATATATATATATATATATATATATATATATATATATATATATATATATATATATATATATATATATATATATATATATATATATATATATATATATAGTCATGAGTAAAACTCAAGTAAGAACCATCACTCTAAAACACTATGGCAATTAATTCAAGAATGATTATAACTCTTTCTTTCTTAATCTTCTCTTGTTCATCCTTAATAACTGCATGGTCTACTAACCAAACAGATTTACATTCATTGTTGGCCATGAAACAAGCCATTGTTGATCCATATGGAGCTCTAAACTCGTGGAACGAATCTACGCCTTTCTGCGGTTGGAACGGCATTCAATGCGGTCGCATGCATCCCGATAGAGTCGTTGCCATAAAATTGTATTCTCGTGGCTTGATGGGATCGCTCTCGCCTCATATAGGTAATCTCTCGTTTCTCCGGATCATTAATCTCAATAACAATAGCTTCCGCGGCCGAATTCCCGAAGAAATCGGTCTTTTAAGACGGCTTATGTATATAGAGTTTAGCAATAATTCCTTTTTAGGAACAATACCGAAAAACATTTCCCAATGTAGAAATCTAGTTTATCTTAACTTGATCGACAACAATTTCTCTGGAACAATACCTCCGGAACTCCAACTTTTGAAGAAACTAAGAGATCTAGGCATAGGAAAGAACAAACTACTTTCGGGCCCTATACCTCAATCCATTGGAAACCTAACATCTCTTACGCAACTTGCGTTAAGATCTTGCAGCTTGAGTGGAGAAATTCCCGAGTCCTTGGCCCAACTTCGAAGCCTAGGAATTCTTGATTTAGGTGACAACAACTTAAGCGGTACGATTCCTCGAAGTCTCTTCAATATGTCTACTATATATTCGCTTAAAGTCTACTCGAATAGTCTTCAAGGATCCATACCCTATGACATAGGCCTCACTCTCCCAAATTTGAGGGAACTCGTCTTGGCGCAAAATCAATTTAGTGGGGGTGTTCCGATTTCTCTCTCGAATGCCTCCTCCCTTGAACGGTTGGTGTTATCAATTAATAATTTCACCGGGCGAATGCCTCGGTTTGACGAGCTTTCGCGCCTTCGTTCCTTGTATGCCGCAACAACCTTTATTAACGATGATATTGGTTTTATTTCATCGCTAACGAATTGCACAAAGCTACAAGACCTTGATCTAGGTGAAAATCCATTTATTAGTGGTACGATTCCAGACACGATTGCCAACATGTCTAAGTATCTCGGTGCACTAGGAATTTATAGTACTCAAGTTGTCGGAAAAATTCCTTCGGGTATCGGAAACCTTGTTGGCCTCTCACTCGTGCAACTTTACAACAACAAACTCGAGGGTCCTATTCCGTTGAGCATGGGGACACTTTCTAATTTGTATGTTCTTGACTTGGGTGATAACGGATTTACCGGTGATATTCCGACTAACTTTGGAAACTTGAGTTTGTTGACGAATTTGTATTTGCAAGGAAATAACTTTTCCGGGCATATTCCCAAGAGTATCGGTAACTGCTCCAACTTGCTAGAACTATATCTTTCTCGTAACAATCTTATTGGATCTATACCTCAAGAGATTCTTATTCCCGTCCTTTCGATTTCATTGGATCTATCTTACAACGCATTGATGGGTTCCATTCCTATTGAAGTAGGATCATTGAAAAACCTAGCAATCTTAGATTTGTCCAACAATAGGTTGTCCGGACTCATTCCGAACTCTTTAAGAACATGCATTAGCTTAGAACAACTCGATCTCGAGGGCAATTTATTCGAAGGACAACTACCCGAGGGATTAAGTTCTTTGATGGGCTTAACAAATTTGGATCTTTCGCGAAATAATTTATCTGGAACAATCCCAAGTTCTTTTGGTATGCTTCGTCTTCAACAATTGAATCTATCTTTCAATAGATTGCAAGGACAAGTGCCAACAACCGGAGTGTTTAAAAATAAGACCGCAATTTCTCTACAAGGAAACAAACAACTATGTGGAGGAATTCTTGAGCTAAACCTTCCTCCTTGCCCTTCATCATCGTCATCGTCGCCAATTTCTTCACGGAAAAACTTGTCAACTCCACTAAAAATCGTGATCCCGATAGCCGGAGTTGCAGCAATTCTATGCCTCGTCGTTTTTCTTTACAAGATAAGAGCATCCAAAAAAAGTCCGTCGTCTCCACCATCATTCGCCGGAGTCACTTTCTTGAGGCTCTCGTATTCTGATCTACTTAAAGCAACAGGTGGATTCGCCGAGGCTAACCTAGTGGGATTCGGAAGATTTGGGCACGTTTATAAAGGTATTCTCGATGACGGGGTGACGGTTATAGCTGTGAAAGTGCTCAATCTTGTTACGAAAGGGGCCTCTAAGAGCTTCTCGGCGGAATGCAATGCCCTCAGAGGCATAAGACACAGAAATCTTTTGAAAATACTAAGTGTTTGCGAAAGCATAGACTTCCAAGAAAACGATTTCAAAGCATTGGTCTACGAGTTTAAGGCGAACGGGAGTCTAGACAAATGGTTGTACTACAACGGTGAACGAGAAGAAGGATCCGATGCACGACTTAGAAATCTCGACATCACTGAGAGGCTCAATATCGCCATTGATGTTGCTCAAGCACTTGAATATCTTCATTGTGGGACCGAGTCGATAATTGTTCATGGCGATTTGAAACCGAGTAACATTCTTCTGGGCGAGGATATGTCGGCCTGTGTTGGTGACTTTGGTTTATCCAAGATTTTGTCGAGCGTAGTACCACCGCACGAAAGCAGCAGCATCAGCACAATTGGGATCAAAGGTACCATCGGCTACGTTCCGCCAGGTACGAGTTCATTAATTATCTTTTGATCTTCATTAGACTCTATTCCGACGGGTTCTAATAACTCGAACTTTAAGTGCAGAGTATGGCATGATTAACTCGATTTCAACAAAAGGGGATGTGTATAGTTACGGTATCCTTGTCTTGGAGATGTTCACAAATAGAAGGCCGACAGATGATTCATTTATCGATCACGTCAATCTTCACAATTTCGTTCGAGCTGCATTTCCGAATCGTGTAATGGAAATTGTAGATCCTCTCATTCGAATAGGTCCTCAGCAGAATGACACTGAGTTTGAGGGTTGCGTGTGCTCTATTATCAGCATCGGGTTGCGATGTTCAAAGGAAATATCGGGAGAACGGATGTCGATAACAAATGTTGTTAGGGAATTGCATAAGATTCGAAACAAATTGTCGAGCTGAAAACAGAGTTAGGGATTTGTAATATTTTTGTTAAAGCTTTGAGGTATTGTAATATTTTTGTCGGACAAATTATGGCCACCCCTGAGGTATGGCCAAATTACGAGAAAAAAAATCCCTTTTGTTTGGGTAATTACAGCCATTTCCTTTTAAATATTTTTACATAAAAATTATGCAATTCAATTATTTATCGAACCAATTCGTATATTTAGTTTGGTAAACAGTATGACATGTTGGCGTATCGAAATTTCGGTTCGGTTTTACCGAATTAACATCCTTAAATTTACCTGTCGAGGGGTTTTTTCGTAAGTTAGGGGATGGGTGTAATTACCCAAACATAAGAGGGGTTTTCGTAGTTTGACCATAACTCGGGATGTGGGCGTAATTTGCCCTAACAAAAAATATATTAAACTTCAAAAAATCTCATTACAAAACTGATAGGCCAAGGCCCTACCTATTCTGGATTCCCACTTTACCAGACGAGTTTATGCTGTCGCTAAATAAAAATAAATAAATAAAAAAGAAACGTAGAATAACTAATCGAACATATTGTCGAATATCATACTTCTCCTCTCCTCCCATAAGGATTGCTATCGCTGAATCCATTTCGACTATTACGTGTTTTCTTCCTGAACTTTGAGGCGCTGCTCTCTATGTTTAAGGGCACTTTCGGAGGAGATTTAAAACAAAACGAAGCAGCCACATCCTGCCAAAAACACCACCGCGTATTCAAGAGAAAAAAAATTTGATTAAAATAAATGCATGATAGAAAATTAATTCCAAGAAACTACTTTGTAAGATACTAACGCCTCATTTGGATGCGACAATGTGATTAGTAGAGATACATGTACAATTTAAAAATAATATTTTTTCACACAAACAAAATTCAGTACAGTTAAAATTTCCTGAAAAATACGCTTACAATAAATAAAAGGGTAAATTACAACCACCCCCTACGAAACCCCCCTCCTGTATGGGTAATTACAATCACCCCCTCAACTATAAATCTTCTTACACGTCCACCCTTGCAGTTTCAAATTTAGTGAAATCTTCGAGATTATATGGAATATCATCACTTTTGTACCCGTTTTATCCCATTCGAACTCCACATTTTGAAGCAAGATGATCATAATATGTGTTTTTGGTTAGTATATATCAGATTGTGGTGCATCAGAAACTGTATTTTTACACAAAACGATGTATTTTTACACAAAACGAGTACAAACTATAGCACATTCCACGAAATCTACATGATTATGTTGAATTTAACACCATAAGGGTGGAGGTGTAAGAAAAAATCATAGTTAAGGGGTAGATGTAATTATCCAAACAAGAGGGTTTTTTTTCGTAAATTGACCATATCTCAGAGGTGGTTGTAATTTACCCTAAAAAAAATAAGTGAAAATAAGAATAGAAGTGAAGTACCCGTAGGTTAAGGCGGTGAACGTTAAAAATGTCCTTCATAGAGTGGGAGTTGTAGGCTCGGATGTACGATCTGTATGCGTCTTTAGCACAATTGTTTAACTCAGAGTTTTCCGAAAGTAAGAGTTCCTGTATCGTATCATATTGCATATAGAGACAATATTATTAATTTCCTTCAGATTTGAGAATAACGAGATTCAATGAAACTAAAAGCTCAAAAATAAAGAAATTACCAAGTGGGATTGGACGTTTAGTATCTTCTTCTGATCAAAATCGTACTCTTTGACCGGCACTTTTGCAGCCTGAAATTCCGAAAAACATACATTCAGGAATTAATTTCAAAAAGGAAGCATAAATTTATGTTTGACCAATTTTAAATATTATTATATATGACATATTAAAACGAATAAAAATCGGACCTTGAGGTATTTAAGAAACTGTAACTCTTCTGGAGTTAAGAAGAGCAACGCGTTCCCTTTTGCACTTTCTCCACGCGCTGTTCGACCCACTCTGTGGATATATTCCTGTACATATAGACATAATATATTTTTTTTATATATATATATACACGCGGAAGAATGGGAGCGATATAGGATAGTACAGCAAACAATTTAATCTCGAAAGTGGGTAATCACATTCGGTTCTTCCGGGGGGTGTTTCTGCACACACCTATATATATATATATATATATATATATATATACAGAGCTAGATATATATATATATATATATATATATATATATATATATATATATATATATATATATATATATATATATATATATATATATAATAAAATAAAATAAAAAATCCTGATTCGTCGAAAATCATGATTGAGTGAAGTGAAAATAGCTTATATATACCACAGCTGGAATATCAAGACCACGTGCGGCGACATCTGTACATAATAAGATACCCTCATCCGCTTTGCAGTATTCGAAAAACGTAGAGGTTCTTTGCTGCTGCTTTTGCTTGCCGTATATAAAATGGCACGTCACCCCGGTATTTCTTAAAAGTTCCCAATGAAATTTGACGGAATTGCAAGTTGAGAAAAAAACCATCACTTTCTTCGAAGGGTTCTTCTTCAAGAAGGATAAGAGAACAATAAATCTTTTGGCAGTCGGGATAACACAGTACCCTTGCTGCAATCCCTCGTTCGTGACCTATATATAATATACGCCACTCAAATAATAGTAAATAATTTGTCTAAAAAGTTTCTTCCAAAAAAAATAAAAAATAAAAATAATAGTAAAAAAAATATTAGTATATATTAATTACCCTCTTTCTTCCATCGTCCACATCGATGTAGACAGGAGCTGTCTGAAACGATAGGCGTGCAAGATCCTCAACCTGAAAAGCAAGACAAAAACCAGACGTATTTATGAATTAATATTATTTTATATTTTCTTCGCGATAATTTCTTTATTTCTGAAAACGACAGTTAAAGAGTGTCTGTCTTGCCTTCTTCGTTTGTGTAGCAGAGAAAAGAGCTGTTTGCCTCGCCTGCATATAGGTTGCCGTGTTAGATATTTGTACTTGACAAATTACATTAAAACTATTACCGTATTATTCGAACGGTACCATACTATTGGCTATTAAGTATTTACGAGGTACACTTCTCGAGAATAGAAGGGAAAATATGAAGCAGGGGAAAATTAAATCCTTGAGTAAAACAATTTCAGTGGTATATCAAAATTCAAAACCATATTAGTTAAAAAGTACCTTAGGCAAAATATTGATGATTTGCCTCATTTCTTCTTCGAAATTAGCTTCCAGAATCCTATCAGCTTCATCGACTATAAGGCACTGCGCCGTACGGAAAAAAAATGAAAATCGAAGTTAATTTCACCAAAGGAAAAAAGCACGAGGATATCTTCTTGAAATTCTGGATAAGATAGAAACTCCGAATTTCAACTATGAATATGCAATTTGGACAATAATCACGAGAAGATAATTAACCATTAGCATGTGCATAAGTTTTTCATCTGTAGTAAATAATCGGATGCAATCGACTTTCCAAACAAAAAGCAGTAAAGAAAATATAGTTACTATCCCTTATCTTCAATTTCGAACAGAAAAAAATCAACTAAAAAATTTAATTGAAAATCCGAATAATCACATACATCACGTAATGCTAATTAGAAAAAAAAAAAAAAAAAAGAAAAAGGAAGAACTGGCATCGAGAGGAAAGGGAATATACCTTTAGGTTTTTGTAAATAAAGCCTTTAGTATTTTGAAGATGGTCAAGAAGTCGACCGGGCGTTGCAACTAAAACATTAACTCCTTTGGCAAGGCGCTCCGCTTCAGCTCTTCGTGAAGCACCGCCAATTACCAGTCCTAGTGTTTGTGAGTGATACTTCAAAAGCTCTTTTGCTACATCATGCGTCTGTAAATAAAGAAAAAAGACAAAAAAAAAACGAAAATTGGTCCGACATTTTCGAATAATAAAAAAATAAAGGATGCCCTTTATCTCAAACTGCATGAATTCGATGTTTAATTCTCCAAACACACTACATATCTAGAAATACATGTTCACGAGTCAAATGAAAAAAAAAAAGAAATGTATATATATACCTGTATAGCCAATTCCCTAGTTGGACAAATGACGATTATACCCGCACCATTTCGAGGCATAAAATGGATGTTATACAGTAATTCAACAGCCGGTACCAAAAAGGCTAATGTTTTCCCGGAACCTGTCCTTGCAGCTCCAAGAACATCTTTGCCTTCTAAAAGTGGTGGAATTCCTCTAGCTTGGATCTTCATCGCCCAACACACAAATAAATAAATTAATTAATTAACTAACTACTGATTAATAACAAGTTCTAATATTCACTAACACGAGCTGTAAGGAAATTTTGAGTAGCTACGATTGGCGTAGAAATTGGAGGTGGAAAAAGATGCTTCCATGTAATTTTAATGCTGTATGAAATGCAAATTATAGCAAAACCTGAGTTTGATTCGACTCCTTCTTCGTATTTAACTAATAAGATAGTACAGAGTTAAATTCGACAGGAAATCAGGATTAAATTAAGACGAACACACTACGAGACAATACGTACACAATCCACTCAGTAACAAAAGAAACAACAAGGGAAAACCTTATGTAAATACAAACTACGATTTCCTAACATTCCTGTTTCATTCTTTCTTAGGCCTCGTTTGGTTGCCAAGATAAAATTAACCAAGATAAGATTAAATAATCTAGTAGAAGGCAAGATAAGCCGTGATAACATAATATTTGCACATAATATTTGCGGGTCGAGCCAGCAAGTTACTGGGATACCAAACACCAAACAAACGGCTAATCTCCCCAACCAAAAGCGACCTAAGTGTACACAATAACTAATAATATCTCAGAACGTATGCAATCTTACTTTTCATGAACACGAAATTTAAATTAATTAATCTATTGGAAATTCTGTCATCTCCAAAAACAAAGGCCGGCCAATGAAATCAACACAGAAAACAAATACAATTTTTCGTCAATTTCGAAAGGTAGGAGGATTATATAACCTGAGTCATGAACTGGAAACCCATATCTTTGATTGCTTTCATAGTCGATTCCGATATGGACAGCTCAGCAAAGGCGGCGGCGCTCATAATTCCGGACCCACTTTTCTTCACCTCTCTCTTCAAACCAACCTCTTCTTCCCCCTTCTTCTCTCTCTCTTCTTCTAATTTCATCTCTGCGCCGGTTTCTTCTCCGGATTTTGGGGTTGTTTTCGCTTTCTTATTTCTCTTCGCACCTGCGATTTGTTTGTTTTCTCCATTATCGTCGGCTTCTACTTCTCTCATCTCTTCGCCGCTCGCTTCTAATTGTGGTGTTGCTTTCGTTTTCTTCCTGTTTCTCTTGCGTTTTTTCTGTGTGGAGTCGGTAACTGCATTTTTTCCGGATTCGAGAAGTGAATTCTCTTCAGTGGCCGCCATCTCAGTAGTGGCGGAGATGGAGAGCGGTCCGGGAGCGGCGGCGGCCAGGTAGCGCGGGCGGTGTTGGAGATCGTCGATTTTGCAGCACAGGGATTTTGAGATTATTTATATATACATAGACTTAAAATAACAACTTATTTAACACAAGTATTTTGGGCCCATTACCCAAAACATCTTCAATTCTAATTTTTAGAAATTATTTAAAAAGAAAAAAATCGGCCCTTGTTTTAACAAAAACTAGCATTTTTTCCCCGTGCGATGCACGGGATATTATTTTTAAAGTGAAAAAAAATAATCAATTTAATACATCATAAGAAAATATAGTATATTAACATAGTAAAATTTAATAACGTATTAGTATTATTCATATTTTATATAACATTAGTTTTTTTTTAAATCTGACATATTAAGATTTATAATACAAATATGTAGATTAATAACGAATCGAATTTCTATCTTTATCTCTTAAGACTTGAGATATATTGATGAAAAATAGGAAATTGATAATTGTTGAAAATTATAGTTGAAAATTAGTAGACAAAAAATATTAAAAATAAATAATTATAAAAGTACCATTAGATAGGATTCTTCAGGATTTAGTTTCAATTTTGATAATTGTTAAAAATTATAGTTAGAAATTAATAGAGAAAAAATATTAAAAATATTTAATTACAGAAATACCATTAGGGTTTTTTAGGGTTGCTCAGCGTTTCTTTCTTTTATATATAAGATACTCACAGGGTTAAAGCAACTCCAGTGGAGTTATTAAATGAGTTATCAAATCTCTTAACTATCAAATGGGTTATTAAAATGAGTTTGTATTTTGATATTTCACCACTTTGAATCTAAAAATACTTCCTTCATATTGAGTTATCAAAAAAATAACCACATAACCAACCAATCACAAATTGACATGTGGCGATTAAATATAAATTATCAATTGATAATAAAATTTAATTACCATGGTTAGAGTATATGAGTTTTAAATATATTTTAAAATATTATCTTAAATGTCAAATGAGTATTTGATAATCCAATTTTGATATTTTGCATTGGAGTTGCTCTAAGAGCAACTTCAATGGGAGTATCAAATGGATCATCAAATCCATAAACCACCTTTTTGATATTTCAAAATTAAAATTTTCCACTCCAATGGGAATATTAAAATGGGTAAGTATTTTGATATTCTACCTCTTTGAATGTAAAAATACATCTCGGAAATTGAGTTATCAAAAAACTAACTACCTAAATATCCAATCAAAAAATGACACGTGGCAATTACAAATAAAACCACAAAAAAACTTCAAATTGATTATTGATTTAGATAACCATGGTTGGAGTAAAAAAATTGTAAATGGATATTAAAATATTATCTTAATTATCAAATGAGTATTTGATAATCCAATTTTGATGTTTAGCATTGGAGTTGCTCTTAGTGACTAGTATCTATACCGAGTGATTTTTAATTATTGATGGAGCAAATAAATATTCACAATCACAGATGAACGATTAAAAAGCAATTAATGTATTTCATCGAGTGTATAATCTTTATTTAGCTCATTAACGTTACTTGTATTACCAGCAAATCCCCTTTTATAAAGATTTTGATTAATTAAAGTCATTTGAACGTCGTTTTTGTTATTTTTAACAAAAATACATGCATTTTTCATAGTTAAATGTCAAATATTCCAACACCACCTGGTGTTTAATTAAACTAACAGCATATTTGACCAAGGTTATTTAAAATATATTATAAGCTCGCATATGATGAGATGTTATATTTATAGAAGTTGATAAAGTTTTAGATCTTATTTTAAAAATTTGATTTTAATATTTTTTGGATATGAAATAAATTAAATTTTGTATTTTCAATGTTATAGCCTTATAGGAACTCTCTATGTGCTTATTTCTTAAACAATTAAGATTTTAAAAAAAAAAATACCAAAAACAAATTAGGAACTTATAAGCTTGTATTAAACAACTTATGATATGTTTTGAAGAATTTATATATTGACAGGAGCTTAAGCTTATTTTAAACAACTGACAAGTTCTAACCTCCGATATGTTGTTTTAAGAGTTGTTACGTGTTATTTTTAGAATTGATGTTTAAAATATTTGGATAATGAGTTTATTAATTTTAGTCATTAAGATCTTAAATAAAAATGTAGGATGCAAATTTATTTTTTTAATGTTCTCCAACAAAAAGTGCAAAATCGGACACGATGGCAGCGGCAGGGGGAGTGGGAATAAAGTAGATGTGAAGGGTTGCCGCGGCAATAGATGGGGGTGAAGGAGAGAAGAAGGCCTCGCAACTTCGTCTTGTGAATAATAGAGGACTTCTTAGCAAAATGCCAAAATTCAGATGTCCTTACGAAAATTAGGTTGCAAGCGTGTTTAGAAAATTGCCCTTACGAAAACAATTAAAAGAAAAAACGAAAAAGAAAATTTAAACCTAGTTCTTTCCCCGAAGAAAATGTTAAGAGACAGTTTCTTAATTGTGTACGAAAAACAGTAACTTTAGTCCGTAATTTAATTTTTTCGTAAATTTAGTTATTAACGTTCAGCAAGATGTACCCAAAACTAATGTGGTGCCCGATTGTGATAGTAATCTTATACTATCGAAGTTGCATTCCAGTTTGTTCTATGCTACGCTCGCAAACTGACAATACAAGTCTCGACGGATAGTCGTTATCTCATCTAAAGCTGAACTATTGCTATAAAGTTCAAAACATGCAAAAATAAATTAAAATTCGACAAAATGAAGCAACTATTTTCAAGAGATGGTTTCAGTACGAAAATGATTGCACAAGTCAATGAAATCGTAGATATTCGATGTTTGGAAAACAATTTATTTCAACCCACTATAAACCGATTAAAAACGTGGTTGAAAATGTTCCCAACATCGACAAAATCAATAAACACCAGTTTTACCAATCTAAATAAACCAATCAATTCATACCAATAACCAAAGCATCCGAAAAAAATCTATAACAACATGCCAGAAAACTCTTCAGGTTACATAGGCGGTCTCACGATTTAGAGAAACTAATAATACCTTACTTATAGAGTCGACAATATGTCTACACGAGAAAAAAACGTGCTTACTTACCTAAACAGAGTGCTCCCAATTCAATGCTTGTAGACAAATTGCACCCTGAAAATTTTGTGAAGCGGTAATTTAGCTAATTATTGCAATAGAAAATATACATATATAGACCACATTTGCCAAATCTGCAGCTGCTGCACTAACAACTTTGAACTCTAATATTCACAAAATTGCCCTTCCTAATTGCGGGATCCTTGTAATTTACCTTGGAATTCTAATCTAAATAGTAACTATACACCGTAACCCGAATTTTGCCTAAATAATTACACGTTGAGAGAAGAAAGTTTAAGGGGTAGAGACTACTCACCACATTCAAATTTCAAGAACCAATTAAGTATCAGTTGTTGTAGGGTTTCCCAAAGTCGTCACCACGCCTGTGGCGCTGAAAGTCGTCATAACTATCGTGGGGCCTAGAAGAAGTATAACTGTCGTTTGTGTTTGGATACCTTCCGCCCCTTGAGTGTGTGCTGGTTCCAGAATGATAAGGATTGCCCGAAGAATTATCGAATTCTGAATAATTTGTTTGTCTGTAACTGCTGAAGGAAGGTGCGGAAATATTGTGACGCGATTGTTGCATCCTTTGGCACTTGAGTTGAATAAACTCTTCCCACATATTCGCGTGTGTGCCCTTCAACATAGCCACTTTCTTCATAAAATTTTCCCTTATTTCTCTAACAGCCTAAAAATCGAAAGAACACCAACATAAAGTTTAGTTGTAAATCTAAGTTAAATCTTGAAAAATACGAGGGTGCATATAAACAATTATAAATAAATAAAGGGTAAATTACAACCACCCCTGAGGTATGGTTAATTTACGAAAAACCCCCTCTTGTTTGGATAATTACATCTACCCCTCAACTATGATTTTTTCTTACACTTCCACCCTTATGATGTCAAATTCAACATAATCATCTAGGTTTCGTGGAAGGTGCTCTAGTTTGTACTCGTTTTGTGTAAAAATACAGTTTCTGATGCACCACAATCTGATATATACAAGCCAGAAAACACATCTTATGATATCTTGCTTCAAAATGTGGAGTTCGAATGGGATAAAGCGGTTACAAAGTGATAATATTCCATATAATCTCGAAGATTTCACTAAATTTGAAACCGCAAGGGTGGACGTGTAATAAGATTTATAGTTGAGAGGGGTGGCTGTAATTACCCAAACACGAGGGGGGTTTTCGTAATTTGACCATACCTCATGGGTGGTTGTAATTTACCCATAAATAAATTTTGCTCAATACTCAAGTTGAAGCTTATCGCGAATGCACACAATCAAGCTTGCAAGAAATTCGAGCGGACACGTATTTTATTCTTTAATCTATTGGACAAACATAAATAATTCCATATCGAAGCATAAACAAACCTCACGGTGCTTCAAATTTTCATCATCTTCTTCTTTATCTCGAATTCTTGCAAGTTCCATTGCATCCCGTTTAAATTGCAACTCCAATTCCTCCAATGTCTGGGGAAAGGAAGGGTAGTCGCTGTTATGTCCGGGCTGCATATTCGATCCACCTCTGCCGTCAATCCACGCTTCCGCCCTGCTGCCACCGCCACCTCTGCTCTGAGTATGGCCTTCGTATGAACTATAAGAGTTTCCTATGTAGGAGGGGCGTGCCGGAGACTTTGAATAGCTCGACCGACCTCTGCCTCCGTCACTACCGTAAGCTTCACCAAAGGAAGATTGTGTTAAGCACATCCGTTCAAGATTCTCTAACAATGGTTTGCAGCTTTATCATGACACACACTATCTTATACCCCTCTTAGAGAATTCATTTCGGGAGACCATCCCTTTTTTTCAATTCAGAACCCACCATGAAAGTAATATCAGAATCGAACATAACGCTTAGCCCTAAGAACTTACCTCTTGCTGCAAAAATCAAGGAAAAAAAAAAGAGACCATTAATCCTAGGGGAGGATCCATACATGTAACTACGGTATTAACAATGCTATATAAGTTACTAAAATATTTACGGTGCAACCTACCATAGGGAGATCCACTTGACAACTTTTGTAAATCTTCACGAACACGGTCTTCAACAACTTTATCTTGTCTCCCGTACCTATGCGGATCATTGTTAGGGCTGGGATTCGATTTTTGGGGATCAAATCTTCCTAACCGAGAAGTAAAAGGACTTCTACGTTCAACTGATCTGGACTGGGAGATTGGGGAGCTAGAAGAACCTTTGTGCCGAGCCTCTTCCGGAAATTTATGGACACCCTTATTTTCAGCCTCTTCTTTCTTTTTGTGAACGGCGTCGACACCCTTTTTCAAGATCAGCCTATCCTTGCCACTGACAATGATGAACTTCTCCTCGATTTTGATTTTACAACCAATGTCCTTCTCGATTTTGTTCACTACGTCTTCTGAGAATAAAGCTTTCACGTGGGGTTCTCTTGCAGGGACTCTTTCAAAGAAATCTTGCGACTTCCGATTAGCTCCGAGAGTAGATGGGCAACCCTAAAAATAAAGTATCCACATTATAAGTTTATAACCACTCTAAGCAAACGAAGTATTTTCCCTCGACTATCAAACTTCAGAACTTCATTTGGCAAAACCTAACTCAACGGGACTCAGAAAAGAATTATAACAAAAGCAAACACAGTCAACGAATACGGCCGAAGAAGTACCTGAGTGAAGTGACCCGATTCACCACATATTTTACAGATCATTTCTTCTTCTTTCCGCTTCTTCCAGTTCCTCTCTGTAGCTTTAGATTTAGCTTCCCAAACCTTAGCTTCTCTGCTGGTAAAATCCGTCGGAACAGCATTCGGGTCACGGGCTTCCTCTTCTTCATCAGAACCTGCATGGGATCTTTTGTTTGTCGTTTTTTCTTGTGAATTTGGTGCAGTAGAACCCAAAGGTCCAGTGTATGCCTTGTAGAGTTCGCTAAAATCATCGTCAATGTCCAACTCTTCTCTACTTGCCATTTCAGCAGAGTAATATAAACTTCAGACGTCTGCTTAAAGAAAATCAATCAATAAGCAGGCAAGGGTAAGAAGTTGGCAAAATAAGAGACCGTTACAATAACAGAAGTTCAACCTCGTTCTTTAAGCAAAGATTACATTTTTAACTCTACCGTTAATACACTACAACATATTTATCTCGGGGAAAGCTTCTATATAATGCAAGTCTCGATAAACAACTGTCCAGATACATGATATATCTCACATAATCACATTTTTGGATGAATAGGGGAACATGAGAAAATGCAATCAAGAACCGATTCATGTTAGCATTATATAGACACAAGATCATCATAGGACAAAGTAATAAGCCCGTTTTAGCAGCGTGTCGTTGGCCACCCTCGATTTGTAAAGGAACAAAATATTTAAACTACAGCATCAGTTAACAACATTTCCACTATACCCAGCCCACACAATTTGCCTCAAAAAACGGATTCAACTTCAAATTCAAACCCAAAAGGGATGAGAATTTGAAAAATTCAAAGCTCTCAATAATACACACACACAAACACACACACACACACACACACACACACACATACATATACAACACCTCTGTAAAACACAAATGAGGGCAGCAAAATGGAATGCTAATAAATATTACCTAGGTTTTATGATATTGGTCCAAAACATCAATTTTTTACAATAAAATCGGATTTTAGATGTGCGCGGATATAAATTAGATAAAAATTGCAGATAGATGGATAACAGCAAAAATGCTGAAGCAAACCTCCCACCACCATTACAAATTCACGCAAATTCAAAAAACTAAAAATGATTTAGAAAGAGCACAATTGGTAACAAAACAAAGAAAAGCAGAAGATTGGATTGTTACCTAGAGAGAGAGAGAGGCGAAGTTGCGGAGGGAGTGAGTGAGAGAAGATGACAAACAGCAGCTATTGCCTACTAGGGCTCTTTTGCTCCTGCCCTGGTTTTCGTTTCTCCCCTTTACTATTTTCTTTTTTATTTTTTCTTTTCTTTTCTTTTTTCTTTTTGGGTAAATTACACTCACACCCCTGAGGTATTTTAAAATAACTTTAAGGTCCTTGTGGTATCGATAATTACACTCACCCCCTTGAAATATAGTTAGAAACTCTAATGGGATAGTGCATTGGATACGTTATTCCGATAGAGTATTAACGAACTATTAGTTTCCGGAAGTGGTACAGACAACAAAGAGCTACGTGTGATTTAAGAAATGTTGGAGGAATCATGTCACCTCAGAACTCTATGTTGTCTCCACCACTAGCTGAAAGTAGTAATCTGTTATAACTCTATCCGAATAATGTATCCAATGAATTATCTCATTAAAGTTTCTAACTATGTTTCAGGGGTGAGTGTAATTATCGATATCACAGGAACCTTAAAATTATTTAAGCATACCAGTGTGGGTGTAATTTACCCATTCCTTTTCTATTCAATGTATTTATTATTATTTCTCTCCTTTCGTTTTTGTATTTAGTTATACAAAAATAAAGTGACAACTAAAGAACTAATTGCACAACCTTGTGAGGAGAGTTTTACATAATCCTAAATACTAGTACTTCCCCGTTGTAATGCATGGAGATCAGCCTCTTAAAATGAGAAAAATAAGAATAAGTAAGCAAAAAGATACGAAGATCAGTCTCAAAATGAGAAAAATAATAATAAGTAAGCAAAAATCTTTTTGCAACAAATCTAATTCAAGTAATACAAAATAAGGAAGAAAAAAAATATAAACTTTATCGGTTAATCCTGAATTCTCACATATTAAATGAAATTAAATATTAGAAAGAAAAAAATACAAAACACAAAACGGGATATGAAATTAAGTGAAATTATATCAAACAAATGGTACAACTATTCAATGAAATACAATTCACTATACCATGTGAATCTTATGCAAAATAACTACTTAACAACAAATATGGTAGCGGCAGGGGCGGACCCAAGATCAAAAGTTAGGGGAACAGGTTAAATAGTCCAAATCATTCTAATAATTTATTGCATTTAATCTTTTAAGGATGGCAAAACATCGTTTCATATTATATTTTAAAGGTACTAATAAAATAATAAAATTTTAAGTACATATTTTTTATTATTTTTTATTTAAAATAGTACTAGTTTTCACCATTTTATGTTATATTAATTATAGCATATATATATAATTTATATAGGATTATGGTAACGAAATAAAATATTGAAGGGTTAACAAACATATTTTAAAAAAATGGGTTATGGCCGATTAATCAGTCTCCGAGACGGAGGCGGTCCCAAACCTTTACGATTTCAGTGTAAATGTTTGAAAAATCGGTTTTTCGCCTTTGAGGCGGTTTTAAGCGGTCTGATGCGGTTCGGAGCGGTCAAACTCGGTGGCAAAAATCGGCAAAAAATCGATCAAAATTTGGTTTTTTTTAATTCAAAATAAAAGTTGGGATTTTAATTAAAAAAATGAGTTTATGCTTTATTTTGTTTATGTTAACTAAAAAATGAATTTTAGTTAAAAAAACGCGTTTCCACACAATAATTCCAAATTTCATTTTAAATAAAAACCCCGAATTGCATACACTTAAAAAAATCTTAAATATTAAAACTCCCTTTCACTTCTAGTGGTGTTTTAATATTTTTGTGGATGTTAATTCTATACTAAAATAAATTTATATTCCCACAATGCAATTTGTGGAATGGTATTAAACAGTATACTATTTCATAGAAATTATGAATGCACCCCTATATTGTTATTATTTATGCGTGTCCCCACATTCTTGTATCCAACTTTTTGGAAAATAGAGTATCCCAGTGTCTATTTCCATGTTTCCCCGTGTCCACATTCCCATGTCTGTGCTACATAGCTTATAAATACTACACTATTATTATTCTTATTATTATTAGGGTGAATTACAGTTTGCTCCCATGTACTATCGAAAAGGTCGCTTTCACCCCCGTATACTATCAAAATCTACAAATATTCCCCTGCTTTTAACAAACAGTCAATGGCCAGACATTTGACAGTGTTAACTTTTACTGTGCAATTACTCTTCTACCCTTGTTTATACGTCTGATGAGTGTCGAAATTTCTCCAAGTCCTTTCATTCTCTCACAACAACACGCACTCACTCTCTATCTCTCATTTCGAATTTTCATAAAGCAAAAACTCTCACAAAAATCTCCCTCTCTCTCTCTCTCTGAGTTTTTGCGAAATTGGTTGGAGGAATATGAGTGCATTCGAAGGGCGCTTACATAGAAGAAGGTAAGATTTTGGATTTTAGGGTTTTTCTCGACTATGCCATGAACTTGTGCGGGTACATCAAATTTTTTCTGGGTGTTCTTGAATCCAACGAGCTTCGAAGGTTTAGGGTGTGATTTTGAATAAAAAATTGATTTTTTTATTGTTGTCAATTTTTACTAATAAAATATTCACACCATTAGTGTTTCTAATAAAATATTTAATATATATTTCACTACATAATAATAATTATTATTATTATTGGTCATCAGCCAATATGTCAAAATGTCGGTAGATTTCCCCCAACACAATGACATCCACAGATAAGTGATCCCAAGAAAACACAAAAACTCCAAACTACTCCCACTATTTTTTCTGCAAATCTTATCAACTTATTATAACTACTTTCTCTCTCTCTCTCTCTCTCTCTCTCTCTCTCACACAGAGAGAGAAAGAAATGGGTTCTTCTGCTGCTATACTTTCCCTTCTGCAGACACTGAATCTCATTTCCGAATCCGATAGTTTTCTTTCCCATTCAGACAAGCTATCTATCCTTGTTGAAATGGATTCAGTTGATGAAACAATGGCGGAGATTCCTGGCAGCAAGAAAGTTGATGCGGCAGCTTATGAAAGACGAGTCATAGATTCTCTCCTAATATTCCTACATCTTATCGACTCCCACTTGTCTGATCCAGATCATGATGACGACATCGGTTTCACTTTGTCTCTCTCCCAACAACTGGAAATAGTCCAAGAAGAAATTACTTCGTTTTTCATAGCAACTGACGAAGAAGAACAGATCTGCAGCAGCAGCAGCAGGTATTCTAATTTTGCTTCTTCATATTATAATACTGAGAATCAACAACAGAATCTCCTGGTGGGATTGGATGACCAAATTAGAGAACTTAAACAATGGATTTTCGATCCCGATTCCCATTACTTAGTTCAATCAGTTATGGGCATGACCGGAATCGGCAAGACTAGCCTTGTTAAACAAGTTTACAACGATCCACTTGTTATACAAGAGTTCGAAACTCGTTTATTTCTGCACATCGGCCCAGACTACACTCGATTGGAAGATATTATGCTGCGTGTTCTCGATGAACTTGGTGTCGTCATCCCTTCTGATAAACTAGACGACTCGGATTATTTGGAGAAGCAATTGTCGGAGGCTTTATCTACTCAAAAGTATCTAGTTGTCTTAGACGATGTATGGGATGGCGACGCTTATCAAATCCTTAGTAATTTTCCAGAAAACAGAAAAGGAAGTCGGATCATCATCATATCTCAGATCCAAAGATTGTATGAATTAATTTTTCCGCACAAGCTTATTATATTACCATTTCTCAACGACGACGACAGTTGGAAATTACTTCATCAGACCGCATTTACTAATAGAGAGGAGAAGTGCAGTCGAGAACTTGAGAAAATTGGGAAGAAGATTGCCAAAAACTGTGAAGGACTCCCAGCAGCAATTATACAGGTTGGAGAGAATCTACGTGGAAAATCTTTTGAAGAATGGAAGACATTATCAGAACAAGAAGATCCACTCGTCATCACAAGATATGACGATACGCCACTCTCAAAGGCACTATTTTTTAGTTACATGATGTTGCCTCAGTATCTAAAGTCATTCTTTCTGTATATGGGTGTGTTCCCAAAAGATTATGGGATTTCTCGATCAAAGCTCATCAAATTATGGGTCTCTGAGGGCTTTTTGGAGACAGAACCGGGGAATGAAGAAACTTTCGGATACACCTTGGATCTACTTATTCTGCGAAGTGTTGTTTTGAGAGGAAAGCACACCTCTGTAGATATGTATAGTTTTAAGGATTGTAGACTGCATTTCACCTTTCGAAGTCTATGTGTTAGTGAAGCTAAGAGTGAAAAGTTTTTCCATATCCTGAAAAAATACACCGATTGTACTCCGGAGAACATCATAATGCAACAGCGTTTGTGCGTCCACAATAATGTTGTTCTTGCTTTAACACAAGTTCATGAATGGATGGAGTCTGTTCCGAATGCACGATCTCTTCTGTGTTTCGGTCCAAAACAACAATATCCAGTATTGTTGCCCTTTTGTTTTAGATTGCTCAAGGTACTAGATGCACTTGCGATCCGCTTCTACGAGTTCCCACATCAACTACTTGCATTACTTCACTTGACGCACCTTTCCATCACGTGTGACAGAGAGCTCCCCAACTCCATATCCACACTTTCGAACCTCGAGGTATTGATTTTCACTCGGCATCATAACATCAAATTGTCGAATAATGGTCCAATTTATCTGCCTATAGACATCTGGAACATGTATAAACTAAAGCAACTTTACTGCAAGGGCTTCGACCTCCCACCTCCTCCGGATAATTGTCATCTTGAGAATCTCTTAACAGTTTCAGGTGTGAGTGTTCACAGTTGTACCATGGAAGTGCTTTCAAGAATCCCCAAGCTAACGAGAATAGCCGTTCAAATTGAGTCAGCACACGACTCAACCGAAACCTTCAATTTTTTCGACCATGTTGCGTCTCTCTATGAGAAATTTCAGTCATTCAAATGTGTCGTTGTAAATCCTAATCTGAGCTCTCAAATTGTTCGTTCAGTTCCGAACTTTCCTATGAACATTAGGAAGATAAGCCTGAGTGGATGTGGGTTTCCTTGGGAGAATATGGAAGTAATTGCTTCATTACCGAATCTTATAGTGCTCAAACTGCGATGGTATGCCTTTTGCGGCCCTCTGTGGAAAACCAGCAAAGGACAGTTCCCCAGTCTGGAGTTCTTGCTGCTGGAAGATTTGGATATAGTGAACTTGGAATTTGACATTCAATCCTTAAGGTGGGTTATTGTTAGGCATTGCTATAAATTGGAAAACATCTCGAATCAATTGAAGTACACCAAACTATTAGAGATGGATGATTGCAGCCCATCCTTTATGAAGAAAGTGCGCGAGTGCCAATCCTTTTCCGGTGCAGAAGTTAAAATAAGTTCTTCAATTACTGATCTATAAAGGTAATAATGCTAGTCAAATCTATGTGAATTTTTTTATGGTCAAATTCAATGGTGCACTTCAAGAATCTAATATTTAGATGATCATATCCTAGCAATTTCTCCAACTTTGACTAAGACTATATTTAGAAACTCTTTCTTTTTTTTGAACACGAAAATACTCTATTATAAAAAAGAGTATTGGCCTTTATACTAATTTTTCTTAGTTTAGAAAACGCGAAAACTATTGCATTCTATTTCACTGACATGCAGTCTCTTCAAAGTGTTTCGAACCATTGAGCCTTTGAAACTCGAAAGAACGAAGATGTAAACTCTAAAGAATGATACAAAAAATCAGTGGCATTTTAGTTAATATTGTATCTTTCATCCTATAATCATTTTTCAGTTCATTAACCATTATATATCTACCAGAGCAATTCTATGTTGATTTTCAACTTAGCTGCAAGGTGAATTTTGCCTCTGAATTTTGGTAAGCTTGATCCTTGGAAATGTTGAAGAGAGGTTTTGATTGATTTTTCTTTATCTGTGCGTACAGGATAATAATAAATTCCGAATGGCTAATCGTGTGTTGCTCGGCGATTGAAATGTCTCAAGTATTCAAATGAAGATGAAGATTCCTATTCGGCAAGTGTGGCAAAATTTCAAAGCTTTCATAAAACTGTTTATGATTTGATATTTTCCTGTTTTTGTAAACTTTTTTTTTTTGGCGATCATTGAAACATATGTTTTTGGATATTTTCTTGATTTATTCGTGAGGCCATTCTTGTAACGTAAAAGGTAATTAATTTTACATAATTTTTACTTTTGCAATGGCTGGAAATAAAAAAAGTTTGATGGATTCGATTCTGTCAAATGATTGTTGAATGTGAAATACCTAAGTTGTTAATGAATATGGTTAAGGTACGAAAAGGGACAGGTGGCGGATGTTGATGCCTGCACCGACGATTTTCAGATTGTTCTGTCACCAGAAAGAAACGCTTTATATGGAGATATTGGTTGGAGATTTTTAATGCTTAACGCCATTTAAAAAGCTGTAAGATATATTCAAATTAATTATTCTTACCTCAAGTTCCCATTTACAATTTAGCCTTTTAACTTTTCGTTTGAATGTTTTTATTTATTTTTCTCATTTTCAGTTGCGACAAAGAATAGATCCTCTGTATTTTGATATTCCAAATACTTCGAATAATTAATTGTCGAGCTGATTTATGGCATTTTGAAATATCCTCTTGACTATATATCATGTTCTCTCTCTCTCTCTCTCTCTCTGTGTATGTGTGTGAGAGAGAGAAAGTAGTAATAAGGCTCAATTTGATAAGATTTGCAGAAAAAATACTGGAGTTCATGTGGGTTGTGTTTTCTTGGGATCACTTTTCGAGTTATCCACCACGGAATTTCTGTGGATTGATTGCGTTGGGGGAAATCTACCGAACAGCTGATGAGCAAGAATCTCGTAACAACAATAATTTAATTTTGACTTTTTTTTGGAGCATAATTTAATATGCTCCAATTTCCTCCTTAACTTAATTTAATCTCAATTTGACCCCAATTTCACAAATTTCTTAATTTTGACCCAAAACTTTTTTTTTTTTTCAAAAAAAAAAAATTTTTCAAAATTATTTTTTTGCCGCCGGATTCCGGCGCTGACCGGCGGTCAACACCGGTCTCCGGCGTTGACTTTTCAATTTATTTTTTTCCAAAATTTCAATTTTTTTTTTTCTTTTTTTCTTTTTTTTTGTTCTTTGCTTTTCTTCCGGATTTTTTCGTCGGTTCCGGCGGTCTCCAGCGTTGATTTTTTTTAGTGTTTTTTTAAGTTTTTTTTTTGTTTGGTTTGTTTTGTTTTTCCACGTCCGCCGCTAAACGTTGACCGTAATTGTGTTGTCACTGACAGTAAATTAACGTAATTATACTGTCAATGATAGTTAATTAACGTAATTGTACTGCCGTTGACATTACATTTATGTAATTGTGCTGCCGTTGACAGTAAATTAATGCAATATTATTATTTTTTATTTATTATTATTATTTTTTTATTTTGTTTGATTTGTTGACAAGTCAACGTAATTATATTTCTGTCGTTGACAGTAAAATAACTGTAAACACAATGATATTACTGTCAACAACATCAATATTATTATTTTTTTGGGGTTTTTGTTTTGTTTGAGTTATTCACGGAGTAACGTATTAATATTACTGTTTATTATTGTAATATTACTGTAAACACAATAATATTACTGTGGTTGACGGTAATATTACTGTTATTATAGTAATATTCCTGTCAACCACATCAATATTATTATTTTGTTTGGATTTTTTGTTTGTTTGAGTTATACACGGAGTAACGTAATAATATTACTGTCTACTATTGTAATATTACTGTTGCTATAGTAATATTACTGTCACTCCCAGTAATATTAATTCTTTTGGTTTTTTTTATTATGTTTACATTTGTTGAACGGACAACATAGTAATATTACTTTATTACACAATAATAATGAGTTTTGTTGTGTTAATATTAATGTGCTAGAGATTAATATAGCAATATCACTGTATTAAACTATAGTTTAGTTAATTTTACTGTGTTTAACAGTAATATAGTTAATATTACTGTCATTCACAACAATATTGCTGTTTAAACAGAAAAAAAAGTTACAGAAAAAAAAAAAGAAAAAATTAAAAAGTCAACGCCGGAATCCGGAAAAAAAATCCGGAAGAAAGAAAAAAAAAATTAAAAAAGTCAACGCCGGAATCCGGCGGGAAAAAAAAATTTTGTGAAAAAAAAAGTTTTGGGTCAAAATTGAATAATTTGTGAAATTTGGGGTCAAATTGAAGTTAAATTAAGTTAAGGATGAAATTGGAGCATATTAAAGTAAGAGGGGTTATTTTAGTCATTTACAAAAATCTGGACCATGTGTGGACTTATTGGTAAATGAGATTATTGTCTGGATCTCTTTATGAATAAGTACCCACTGATGGGCTTATTTGTAATATGCCCATAATAATAAGGGCCAATTATGATCCACCTTTGAGTTATGGTTAAATTACAAAAACATTTCTCTTGTTTGGGTAATTAGAGCCATCCATCAACTATGTATTATCTTACGAAAATACCCCTTCAGAGGTAAATTTAGGGATGTTAAATTGGCAAAACCGAACCGAAATTTTGGTACGCCAACATTTCATACCGTTTACCGAATTGAATATACGATTTGCGTCGGTAAATAACCGAATTACATAAATATTAGGGGAAAGTACAGTTTGCACCCCTGAACTATGGGGTCTGTCCTAAATACCTCCCTAAACTACGAAATGTACCAAAAAGACCCCTGTTTTTTATGGTCAACGTCAAATGAACTAACACCGTCAGTTATAATGTGAATTTACTTATTTGGCCATCAATTTTGCCCTCCTCTCCTCTTTCTCTCCATGTTCTTCAGCTTCTCACCATTTTTAACCGGAGTTCTCTCCTCTCATCTCCTTTCTCTCTTCTTACCCTTCTCATTCTTCTCTGATCTTACATTTAAATCCCAACTTCATATGTGTTGGCCATTTCCGAAAATGGTTCATAACTATTTCATTATCAACCAACAAATCCCAAGTACTGCTCACAAAATCATCGTCTCATATGCTAATAATCCTCAAAAGTCGGCCCAAAATTGCACATCTTCGCTCTCGTTTGAAGAGCACCCGCCGCCACCAGGACAAGAATTGGAGGAAGATGAAGATAATGGGGTCGGGGTTGATGAATTATCATCGGGGTAGCATAATTTATGGGGTTCAATCACAGGAATTTCGTCCGTGTAGTCAATGGTGGAATCAAATGGGCTCTCAATTTTGTGTTCCGTTGACTCGCTAATAATGGTTGAGTGGGCTCCACCTTATCCTCCATTCTTCCAGTGGTTGTTCGTCGGCGTTGGTGGGTGGTGGCAGAGGCTTGTGGGTAAGAGGATTGATTCTCAATTTCCTTAGCTTCTTCTTCTTCCCAATGAGTACTGTCAAATTTGAGGTGAATTTGGAGGCTTTGTTCTGTGCATATGTCGAGAGAGAGAGAGAGAGTGTTGGGAGCAAGATTTTTCCCTTTTGTTTAAAATAATTTATTTGTATTTAATTAAAAACAGTTTTGTATTTTAACTATTTAATAATTTAATAATTTAAATAGTATTGAATACTTAGTAAGGAACAACGAAAATATTTATAACATTTAATAATAAATATAAGAGTTTTAAGAATTATTTATATTTAATATATATGCAAGGGTAAAAGCGTCCGAAAAAATGGAACAATAGAAAAATCAGATATAAATGAGAAAGTCAACATGCCACATCATCACCCACTAACAGATTCGAAACGGAAGGGCTATTTTGTTACGTTTTGTAGTTCAGGAGGGTGTTTGTGACAGACCCCATAGTTCAGGGGTGCAAACTGTAGTTTCCCCTAAATATTATAGTCTTTCCAAATAAACCCATCAATGAGTACTTATTCATAAAAAGATCCAGACAATAAACTCATTTACAAAAAAGTCCACACATGGTCCGGATTTTTGTAAAAGACTAAAATAGGCCATCATACTTTAATATGCTCCAATTTCATCATTTAATTTAATTTAACCTCAATTTGACCCCAAATTTCACAAATTATTCAATTTTGATCCAAAACACATTTTTATGGACAATTTTGTCCGTCACCGCCGATCTCCGGCGTTGACTTTTTTTTTTTCTTCCTGATTTTTCCGCCACCGGTTTCCGGCACGGCGTTGACTTTTTCGATTTTCTTTTCTTTCTTTATGCAACATCTATTTTTTTTCGTTTAAACAACAATATTGTTGTGATTGACAATAATATTAACTATACTACAGTTTAAAACAGTAATATTGCTATATTATTCCATAGCACAGTAATAAGTAATAACCAACCGTCATTAGGAGAGTTGGTACCTAACACAGTAATATTAACACAACAAAACTCATTATTATTGTGTAATAGAGTAATATTACTATGTTGACCGTTCAACAAATGGAAACATAATAAAAAGCCAAAAGAATTAATATTACTGTGAGTGACAATATTACAAGAACAGTAATATTACAATAATAGACATATCACGTTACTCCGTGAATAACTCAAACAAACAAAAAAAAACCCAATAATATAATTACGTTGACTTGTCATAAAATCAAACAAAATTAAAAAAAATAACAAAAAAAAAAAAATATTACGTTAATTTTACTGTCAACGGCAGAACAATTACATAAATGTATTGTCAACGGCAGTAAAATTACGTTAATGTACTGTCATTGACAGTATAATTACGTTAATTTACTGTTAGTGACAGCACAATTACGGTCAACGTTTAGCGGCCGACGTAAAAAAAAAAAAAAGTCAACGCCGGAGACCAGCGGTCAATGGCGGAATCCGGCTGCGGAAAAAACAGACCAGGAAAAAAAAATTCGAAAAGCCAACGCTGGAATCCCGTGGCAAAAAAAAAAAAGTTTTTGGAAAAAAAAAAGTCAAAATTGGATTTTTGTGGTCAAAATTGATTAAATTGGGATTACAATTAAGAATTGGGTATAAAAGGTTGGCGGTAATTTTGTTATATACATGAATGTTTCCTTTATTTATAATAAATATTAGGCCGCGGCTATATGCAATACTAATTCCACTTGTGCAAGACCAAATTAAAGAAATATTTCAAAAGATTCCATTTTATTAAGATAAAATGATACATATACCCATAAATTAAATTGGCTTTTGTTTACTCATGCAAAACCAAATAACAAATTATAAAATAAAAAAACAAAACAAAACAAAAGGAAGAAAAAAAATGTGAAATTAAACAAACCACTAACCCAGCCCCCACCCCTCCCCTGTGAAA